TTTTGTGGCGTCCGCTCTGGTGGAGTGTGCGAGTCAGTTAGTGAAGGATTATCCTCCGGGTATCATTTATGAAGGAATTAATGCAGTGGAAAAGCGCTTTATTATGAGACGCAGTTTGTTCTTTACTGTCAGGACTGTTATGATTGTTATGATGGTGGTGAGGATGGTAATGATAATGATAATAACAATAATAATAATGATGATAATAACAATAATAATAATAATAAAAATAATATTAGTAATAATAATAATAATAATAATAATAATAATAATAATAATAATGATAATAACAATAGTAATAATAATGATAAACAATAATAATAATAATAATAATAATAATAATGTTGATAATAAAAATAATAATAAGACGAAGACGAATAAAAATTATATTAATGATAAGAATAATAAGTAAGAATAATAATAAGTAAGAATAATAATTACAAGAATGAAAAGAAGGATAACAGTAACGATAATAAAGGTAATATATCATCATTATAATAAGAGTAATTATGATGATAATAATAATAATGATGATGATAACAATAATAATGATGATGATAATAATAATAATAATAATAACAATAATGATAATAATTATCATTATTACCTCCGCCAAGGAGGTTATGTTTTTGACGGCGTTGGTTTGTTGGTTTGTTTGTTAGCAGCGTAGCTCAAAAAGTGCTGGCCGGATTTCAGCGAATTTTTGGGGACAAGTCAGAAAGGGACTAATTTAGAACTGATTAAATTTTGGTGACATTCCGAATTACCGTCTGGTTATTATTATTATTATTATCATTATTTAATCAATAAATTTACTAAGTTCGGTACACAAATCTACGGTAAACATGTGCCATATTTCACTATCTCCCATTTTATTGTTATTGTTACCTCCGCCAAGGAGGTTATGTTTTTGACGGCGTTGGTTTGTTGGTTTGTTGGTTTGTTTGTTTGTTAGCAGCGTAGCTCAAAAAGTGCTGGCCGAATTTCATCGAAATTTTGGGGACAAGTCAGAAAGGGACTAACTTAGAACTGATTAAATTTTGGTGACTCCGAATTACCGTCTGGACGCAGCAGCGGTGTAAGTACATTATATACGCACCTTGGCGGAGGTCTGCACTCTCTAAGTGCTTTTCTAGTTCTTTTATTACCTCCGCCAAGGAAGTTATGTTTTTGACGGTGTTGGTTTGTTTGTTTGTTTGTTTGTTAGCAGCGTAGCTCAAAAAGTGCTGGCCGGATTTCATCGAATTTTTGGGGACAAGTCAGAAAGGGACTAACTTAGAACTGATTAAATTTTGGTGACATTCCGAATTACCGTCTGGTTATTATTATTATCATTATTTAATCAATAAATTTACTATCCAAGTTCGGTACACAAATCTACGGTAACCGTGTGCCACATTTCACTATCTCCTATTTTATTGTTATTGTTACCTCCGCCAAGGAGGTTATGTTTTTGACGGCGTTGGTTTGTTGGTTTGTTGGTTTGTTAGTAGCGTAGCTCAAAAAGTGCTGGCCGGATATCATCGAAATTTTGGGGACAAGTCAGAAAGGGACTAACTTAGAACTGATTAAATTTTGGTGACTCCGAATTACCATCTGGACGCAGCAGCGGTGTAAGTACACTATATACGCACCTTAGCGGAGGTCTGCACTCTCTGAGTGCTTTTCTAGTTACTATTATTCTTATTGTTAATATCATTATTATTATTATTATTATTATTATCATTATTATCATTATCATTATCATTATGATAATGATAATAATAATAATAATAATAATAATAATAATAATGATAATAATAAAAATAATAACAATAATAATAATGATAATAATAATAACAATAATGATAGGAATAATAATAGGAATAATAATAATAATAATAATAATAATAATAATGATAATGATAATAATAATGAAATAATAATAATAATAATAATAATAGTAATAATAATAATAATAATAATAATAATAATAATAATAATAGTAATAATAATAACAATAATGACAATGTCAGCAGTAATAGAAATAGTAGTAGAAAATGATAGGGATGATGATAATCATGGTAATAAATATTATCATTATCATTATTATAATCATCATCCTTATTATAAAGATAATGTTGAAGATAATAACAATGATAATGTTAATGATAATACTAACGATAATGATAATGATGGTGATGATGATAATAGTAATAATCAATAATATAAAGAAGAAAAAGAAGAATATGAAGAAGACAGAAAAAGTAAAAAAAGAAAAAAAAAAAAAGAAGAGAAAAAGAAGAAAAACAAAAAATATTTATAATGATAATAACAAAAAGTTGTAATACAGATGACAATGATCACAACACTGATAAATCTAGACACAGCAGTAATGACAGTTTTCAGAGTAACAACAAATTTAATTGTTATCATAAACAAAATAGAAATAGTAAAACGAAGAAACACTAATAGTAATAACAGCGAATAAATGACAATAAAGAAATAACAATAAAGAAATGATAAAAGTGTTAACAATGTCAACAGTAGTTAACATAAACCTAAAAGAGAAGGGAATTTAATCCTGTCCAATATGTTTTGAATCCCTAATGTGATAAACATTTGAAAAAAACAAAGTCAGTCACATTTTCCGTAAGTCTCACGGATTTTCATATTCAATGGATTTGTGTGTTGATGCTTTTGAGGATAGTCTTAATGGTCCGTCGATTTAGCTGTGTAAACAGACAGAGATTCATAAATCTCTCCAATTTCCGTGTGAATTATATATATACATATATATATATATATATATATATATATATATATATATATATATATATATATATATATATATATATATATATATATATATATATATATATATATATATATATATATATATATATATATAGTGTATATGTATATATATATATATATATATATATATATATATATATATATATATATATATAATATATATATATAAGTGTGTGTGTGTAAGTATAAGTGTGTGTGTGTGAGTGTGTGTGTATATACTATACATACATGTATATATATATATATATATATATATATATATATATATATATATATATATATATACATATATTTATATATATATATAATATATATATTTATATATACATGTGTGTGTGTGTAAAATAATAAATATATATATATATACATACACACACACACGCACATATATATACATATATAAATATATACATACACACACACACACACACACACACACACACACACACACACATATATATATATATATATATATATATATATATATATATATATATATATATATATATGTATATATATGTATATATATGTATATATATATATATATATATATATATATATATATATATATATATATATATATATATATATATATATATGCATTTATATATGTATATATATGTATATGTATATATGTATATATATGCATATGTACATATATATATATATATATATATATATATATATATATATATATATATATATATATATATATATATATATATATATATATATGTATATAAACACACTCACGTAGTGTAATCCTCTAGCGACTCCTAAAGAGGGACATTTCCCTTAGAGGATATAAGATCAAGAGGCCTAATGAAGGCCTAAAGCAGTGGCTGTGACTACACGGAGTCGAGACCGGTTTTTCTTCATCCTGTGTTTTGAGAACGTTCACTCAAGTTCCCCTTAAACATCGTTCTAACTATGGAATCTATTCAGCGAACAGTGCGCTTTAAGCATCATCGGTGTAATAGCATTCAGCCCATATCATTCACTTGCCGCTCAGTATTCTAATCACAATTGTTTTGCTTCTGAAAGTTACAAAAAAAAATAGATGTTAACGGGCAGTAGTGCGTCATCCTAGTGCGTCATCGACAGCCACCTCTGCGTCTTCACTCCAGTCCTCCCATTAGATACTATTTGCCACGCTTCCCACCTGCGTGTGTGTGTGTAGGTGTGTCTATGTGTGTGCTTGTGTGTGTGTGTGTGTGTGTGTGTGTGTGTGTGTGTGTGTGTGTGTGTGTGTGTGTGTGTGTGTGTGTGTGTGTTTGTGTACCTGTGTGTGTGTGTTTCTGTGTGTTTGCGTGTATTTATTTGCATGTAAACATGTGTTTTTTTATGAATGTGTGCATACTTTGTCTGTAAATGTGTGGCTTTGTGTCTGTGTTTGTGTCTGTATCCGTGTACGTCCTCTTGCGTGTGAGTGAGTGGGTGCAAATCGGGCCATCACGCCATTAAGCCTACCGAATTTCCTATCTGGGCCAAATATCAAGACGGGGAACGCGCGGTAAATGAGCTCCCTCCCCTCTCCCTCTTCCCTTCCCCTCCCTCCTCCTCTCCGACCCCATGCCTCTCCGTCTATCCCCTCTTGCCCCTCTCTCTTTTCTCCCTCGTGGCTCCTTCTCCCCATCCTTCCTCCTGCCCTTCTCCCTCTCCTCTCTCGTGGCTCCCTCTCCTTCTCCTCTCCTGTTCCCTTCTCTCTTTCCTTACCCTTGCCTTTCTCACTCTCCTTCCTCTTCCTTCTCCCCCTCTCCTCTCTCGTGGCTCCCTTTCCCTTTCCTTTCTCTTGTCTCTCTCCCTCTCCTCCCTCGTGCCCCCCCCCCCCCCAAACAGCTCCCTCCCAGATGGTTAATTTCGGGCTCGGAGAGTAGGCCTGCTCCCCCCCCACCCAGCCCCTCGCGCCCATTCACGTCGTTTTACATCTTTAGTCTGGACGCTCCTAGAAGGTGCGCTGACACGACAAGCGAGAGAATGCTCGAAAAGGGAGAAACAGAAATGACTAAATTCGAAAAAAAAAACAGAAATAGCGAATTGTTTAAAGAAAAACAGAAGAAAATTATTTTGCGCGCACGTGTTTTCGGTCTAAAAAATATATATATCTTTGTTTGACATGTCCAGTCGAAGCTTTCGGCGGTTCTTTTACCGCTCGTTACACACGGCTTTACCCTCGACCTCTGTTGAAATGCTGGAATACTCACCGACTTTGTGACAGCCTGGAGTCTGCCACGAGTGCTTCAGGGCGGCGGTGGAGGCGACGAGGCAGGTCACCAAGACGACCAAAACCTTCAGCATCACACCGCTCCTGCAACGAGGAATTCCTGCAGCTATTGAGGGATGCGAAACTTTTTTTTGGCACTGATTGCTGCAAGTAGTCGCTACTGCTGCAGCGTTCTGATTATCTCAGTCGACAAATTGCAAAGGGATGAAAAGCCTCTACCGTTCTGTTCTAATTGATTTGTTCAGGGAAGCCCACATAGCAAGGGAAATTGTTTTCGTGAATTTCCACTGTTCCTAGAAAACTCTTCCAGCTAAAATCATTTCTGAGCGGGGTAAACCAAGGAACAGCCATGCTAAGGTTGACATTCACTTAGCAGGAATAAAATATAATTGTTGGTTAAAACAGGTAAGTAATGTCATTCCCTACATCCAACTGGGTTTATTCAGCTCCACACTTCATCAATTAATTCAAGAACTAAGGATACGTGTGATCGCCAGAGCCAGCCTTGTTTTGAGTCACTCAGGTGGAAAGTGTAAGTCTGAGTGTTAAGCAAGTAATTTACGTCGTCTAAACAGAATGGATTTTGAAAGGATAGCAATTCATAACTGAATTCCTTAATTGACTGTTTCCATTCTGTTCTGAAAATAGATACAGTGCCCAATTCTGTACTATGCAACACCTAAACCCAAACTAGAATTGCAGGATTACAGAGTACAGACTTATTTGCAGTAAATATTAGAGTTTTCCCTTCTGTCTTTTTTCCTAAGTCTCCAGCTAATATTTTGTTGTTTTTTGTTAATTAAAATTCTCGACACGACTATTTTCAATTCAGACTCTGCGGGTAACAGGTCTGTAAACGAAATACACAATACAAAGTTGCTGTTTTTCTAATGCATCATACAGCTCCTGTGGTAAGCTATTCTAGACGATAATACGATGTAAGCAGCTGAGAGTTTATACCAGTGCGAGCAGGAAACGGACCTTTTATTCTCCTTAAACTACTAAGAGCAACATCCACGAAAAAGTTGAAAACTTAAATCCCTTTTTTCCATGGTGCCTTAATATCCTGTAAGCGATAACCCCTTATAAAGGATGACAACCCTCGTTACCGGCGAGGACATGAGATTAAACCTATTCTTTATAAAGGTAAAAGTGACATGAAAACCGTCTCTTTGTTTAACAGTAGTAAGAACACTACGTCTGAGTAGCGTTTTAATGCTTCTTGTTATTAAAGGTAAAGCGTCTAAAAATGCCCAGAAATTGTTCCACAAAAAGGAAGCTGCTTGAAAAGTCCACGTCAGTTTTAATTCGGGAACACGTTTTTCATGTTGTTGTTTTTTATCTATTCCATCTTACTTCCTTCTTGCTGCGTCTTTGAGGGAGCTGCATCAAACGGTCATGTTGGCGAGACCCTTTGAGCGGCTAAATCTGTTTTCTCTTTTGCTTATCTAGCAGTTATGTTTTTTATGATTTTGGACACTGCGTCCGTAGAGAAATAAGTAAATTTTGGAATCTTATTATAGTGTTTCTAAAGTTATCGAAACGATAAAGCAGAAAAAAAAGTTACATAAAATACTTTCATCGTATTAGACTGCAAGATTAACTCCACTTACTGTATTTCTTCTACGTAATTAATGTATGCAAAACGACAGGTTTCGCCTCATAAAAACGCATTGAATAATGATCTGCCTCAAGGCACCGGATGATACGCGTGAGACACGAATTTCCCAGACCCGTGTTCGGACCAAAATATCAGCCGGTAGAAGCCTCATTTATCATTAAGGAATATAATTAACGGCATCTCCGCCATTAACTCAGGAGTTAAATGGAAATCTTGGGCTTCGCAGACCCCTCCCTGTCCTGCTCCCAGGCCGTTCGGCCCGACGGCAAAGCGGCGGAAACAACGGGCGGGGCGTCGAGATTCGCCCTGACGCGGCCGGACTCGATCTCTTGTTCGGGCGTCACGTACCCGACGCGCGTTCCACGGGCTGTCGCGGCGCACAAACACTTGACGCGCGGCCCGAGGTTTGCCGTGGGTTCAGCTCGCACGCACTCACGGCTCCCACTGTTTGCCCGGCAGGTTAACTCTTCCTTGTCTTGTTAACATTTGGAAGCCAGCGTTTGCTGTTGGTTTTGCGAAACAAGCAGCTCTGAATTGAAAACAAGCTTTTGTACACTTAAGAGTAAGCGCACAAAAAGAGAAAGCAAGTTCTACAAAAGCTGAGGAATTGTAGCTACTTTTGATTAATATAGATTTCTAAACATTTCTGTACCCCCCCCCCCCATCCAGCAGCTGGACCCATAGCTTCGGCCAGAAAATTGGACCTGTTGCTAAGAGCGGAATCGCATTCAAGGTGTTGCGTGTATTGCTCGCCGACATACTTAAGGAGAAGCAATTATCCGAGGCGGTGGTTTACTGGTGGGGTCGTGCGTGCCTGTGGAACATGTACATCAACATAATGAGCTCGAGGACGGTAATATCGCCTAGATCGATGGCTCCTCCTCCAGCAGCCACGTCTCGGCGCTCGGGGCCACCATTAAGGAATTAGAGGCGAGGCGCGACTCAGCCGCGGCGCCCACTCTGCTCTCCGCTTTCTAGTCCCTAATACACTCTGTATGCGGAGGAGGAGGCCACAACTGTAGAATTCAGGTAATCATCACAGAGCACACCACGAGGCGATGGTTGCATCACCACAATCACAGTGAAACTCCAGGCCTACGCTCCGTTCCATCCACACTGTGTCATTTACATATAAATTTCACTCGAACAGCTACTTCACTGCCCATAAAAACCTGTTTTGCCAGAATGTTCAGATTACATTCAAATTTGGAGTAAATGCCGAAAATCAGAACAAATATCAGTTTTTTAATTACATTCCTATTTGGAATAAATGCCGAAAATCTGAATAAATATCATTTGATTAAAAACCACACCATATTTTGATAGATGCACAGTGCGCTGAATAAACTTTATGTGATGCCTCTATCTAGATAATTATTATGGATTCTAGAGTGATGGACAGAATGGAACAAGGGTGTAAACACTGTCTCATTAACCTGACAGCATGCTTCCTTTACAAACAAATTGTAAATATATTTTCTGATTATCTACTCAATAGATTTGGGAAGAAAATATGTAAAACAAGATGGGAATAGTTCGAGCGTATTTTTAGTAACATTGTCCGGTTATGATGACGGGAGTAGGAGTGGTATTGATTGAAAAATCAATATAATGATGATGATAGTAATAATTACGATGGTAATGGTGGTGATAATATAAATATTTAGATGATAACAATAACGAATATGGTGATGGTGACAATGATTATGCTAATGGTAATTATGGTAATAATAATATGATAATGACAATGATAATGATCATAATGATATTGATGATTATAATAATAATAATAATGATGATGGTGATGATAATAATAATGGTGATGATAATGATGATAATGATAATATGCATGATAATACTATAATATTGATAATGATGGTAATAATAATGATGATGATGATGAAACAATATTAATGATAATAACAATAATTATTATTATTATTGTTATCATAATAATAGTGATAATAATAATAAGGATAATAACGATAATCATAATGATGATGATACTGGTAATGATAATCATAACAATAATGATGATAATAATCAATATGATGATAATAATGATAGCAATGATAATAACAATAATAATAATAAAAATAATAATAATAATAATAATAATAATAATAATAATAATAATAATAATAATAATAATAATAATAATAATAATGGTGATGATGGTGATGATGATAATGATAATAATGATAATAATGATAATGATAATGAGAACGATAATGATAATAATAATGATAACGATAATGATAATAATAATAATAATAATAATAATAGAATAATAATAATAATAATAATAATAATAATAATAATAATAATGATAAGGATGATAACAATAACTATAACAATGATAATAATGATGATAATAATGATAAGAACTATAATAATGATAATAATAATAATAACAATAATAGAAATAAAGATAATAACAATGATCATAATAACAACAATAATAACACTAGTAATAATGATGATAATAATAATAGCAATAGAAATATTAATAAGGATAACACTAACAATAGTAATAATAATAATGATAAAGATGATAATGATAATGATGATGATAAAAATAATAATAATAACAGTAGTAGTAGTAGTGATAATAATAATAATAATGATAATGATAATAATAATAATAATAATAATAATAATAAAGATAATAATAATAATAGTAATGATAATAATATAATGATAATAATATAATAATAATGATAATGAAATACATATATATTAATGATAATGATAATAATAATAGTAATGATAATAATAATGATAATGGTAATGATAATGATAATGATAATGATAATGATAACGATAATGATAATGTGTGTGTATGTGTGTGTGTGTGTGTACGTATACTCATCATATTACATACTAAATAAGAAGCAAGTTCGCCTCATTCTCATTCCGTTTGATATTTTGGTGAAAACAGAACTAGATAGTTTTATGAAAACATGAACAGTAATGCATAATATATTGTGTCATATTTCAGCGCTTGGTATCGTATTTCTTTTGCAAAAGCGCATTCAATCAGGGCAAAAATACGAGGGAAATATTTGAGAATACGAATGCATGTGTGTGTTCACAAAACTCATACACGCAAAGAGTTGTATGTCTGTGTGTGTGTCCGTCTCTTCTTAAAATCCAAAGAAAGGAAAATGAAAAAAAACGAAATTGGCGGTTGGATATGTTCCTGAGTTGTTGTTTTTTTATTATTATCTAAAAAGAATAATAACAATAAATAAACAAATAAATATGAAATAAAAACAATCCTTCGACTAAGGCTCAATATTTTGCCAAATTTTGTCAGAAGCAATCTTTTGATCGAAAAAAGGATAAAAAGAGATCATACCTGTTTGATCTGTTATATACATGTACATACATACATAAAAACATACATACATACATGTGTGTGTGTGTGTGTGCATATATAGATATGCATAT